GACATTCTTACACGCACTCCACTCGAAACCTTTGGGCTTACGTGTTGGGTCCAAGGGTTGAAGGAACAAACCTCAACAGACTCTTTCTAAGACTGTAATGTCGTGAATTATGAATATGCGACAGAGTTAGAGTTTAGTTCCCTAAGTTGTGGAGCATTAAGTATTTCGGTGATTTAGTTCGTAGATAGCAGAGATGGATATATCTCGATTTCACTATTTTGGGAAAAGGGCTTCAAACACGTATGAAGGCCACACACAAGTTTTGGAACAAACTTATGATCGTCTAAGCACGGAGGAAGAAGATGAAGTAATAATTCCGGGTTCGACACAATCGAAGACAATGATGTGTGTGGATTTATCTCTTTTTAGGGGTACCTTGACTCCACTTTGGAAACTCGCCGAAGGTCCTTCAATTACTAATTTGGGATCAAGATGTTACACATTTTAATTCTATCATGTAATTAATATGATAAAAATTCTTATTGATGGTCCTTGATTGATTGTTTGATAAAAGGAAATTGGAGGATGAAGATTTACACGTGTTGGTTCGACTATCTAGAGAAAAATTTTTAGATCCCGATTCATAGTTTACTAACAGAATTCTTAATTATTCAAATTGTGTAAAAGTTTTGAAAATTTTATTGGGTCTTTTGTGAAATTGATGAATGTAGTTCCGGATATTGATATGATTATGAGGAGGCGACTAAAGCTACAAAAGAAGGTGACATTAGCTTCTAGGTAAAATTTCAATTCGAGAAATGGGCCAATTTTTGTTTTACTTGTGCTATAATAGGCAATGCGGATAAATTTTGTCCCATCTAATGGAAGACAACATTGCATAAAAGGTGAATCTACATGGGTTTTGGCTTAGGGTTTCTAACGGCAGAATGCAAAATTGGAGTGGTAACAAAATGTCTAATTAGATTGGCGGGGAAAGAGTGAAAGATCCGAGTAAGAGGGACGTAGATGGTGGAAGGTAGATGTGTGTGCGAGCAAGGTAAAATAGATTAAAAGCGCAAGAGGCTGGATGGAGAGGATAATGAATGCAGTTTGACAAGAATGCAGATTGTGATGTGCATGCCAAGAAATGGGGAGGAAGGGAGTCAATTCGATACAACTCACCTCAATTAAATTTTAAAAAGGCTAGTGACTATCAAAGTTTGTGAAACAAATTGACATGTCATATGGAGTCTGTCTAGTATTCACTACTCTCTATTATTTTAGTTTTAATTTGTTTCTGCTATTTTCATTTTTATTTTTTTTATTTTGACTATTGGGATGTGTATGTGAGGTTTATGTTGTCTTGGACAAAATAATGAAGGCATTTAGGGGCGGAAAAATCTTAAAAGCTCACATTTAATTTATAAAAGGATTTGCTTTTGAACATGTCTTTGAGCATATTTGGTAAAACTGAAATCGACTGAATCTGCTGATTTCGCTGAAAGTTATGAAATTCTGGCTGAAGTGGTTGCATTGGCTGATTCTGCTGATTTATGAGAAAATTAAATTTAAAATATATTTTATTAATGAAATAAAGGGATAATTAGATCAAGAGAAGTAACTACAACCTTACATTTTCCTTTTCTTCTATAAGCATGAATTTTGTTAGGGGTTTAATGGTCAAGAAAAATATGTTCGTTGCCCTTCATGCATTGGCCGATTGTACTCGGTGCATAATAAGTCTAGCGTATTGCTGTTATGACATAATAAAGGGTGACAGCGATCTACTATGCCGTTAAAACCATAGTATGTCTTATGCGACTTCACACGGTTCGGGATAAACAAATACTGCTGATGAGTGCGCAATTAAACCTTCCTTTCCCCTCGCCATGATTCTGTCCGACCCTCCCTCTACTTCTTTTCCGTTCACGTTTTGGATATGTCATGGTTGTCGTGCGCCCCAGCCATGGTTGTTTTATTTGGATGGATATTGTCATCGATTATCCGCCTATTCATATTTGGCACCTGGTATTGAACAAATTTTGGATTTCTTCGCATCCTTTATATGTTTTTATTCTCTTCTAATTAATTGCGGAGTATATATTCCCTTTATATTCAAGTCCAGTTCATTCCTAAATTAGTAGCGATTATTTTCCTTGATCGTGTTGCTTCTTTTATCTGTTTTCTTTGTTTCAATTTAAATTGATGTGTATTTGTCTCTTACGGCCTGTTTGGATTGAGTGTTGAGGAGTGTTAGTAATGGAAGTGTTAGTAAGTGTTGATGCTAACACTTGTTTGGGAGAAAAATCCAGAGGTGTTAAGAAGTGTTAGTAATGGTTAGGAAGTGTTAATAATAACCTTCCCAACACCTCAATTGTCCATTTTTTAACACCCCGATTTGGAGTGTTTTGAGGTGTTGGACAATTATTACCCTTCTCATTTACCCGAAAAACATAAAATACTTCGACATTTCACTTCGAATGTCTTTCCCACGGGTCTGATGATTTGTTTTTTCATCTCTTCTCTTTACTCGTTTCTTTTGCCTCAAGGTAAAATTATTAACACTTCCATTATTAACACTTCATTCATTTGACTCTCCCAAACAAGGTAAAATTATGTCTAACACTTACACTTCCCTTCCCTTCCGAGCCCTTACTAACACTTACTAACACTTCCATTACTAACACTTCCAAACACTCCATCCAAACAGGTCCTTAAAGAGAAGGAAAAAATACATCGGTTGAAGTTTGTAATTGAAGGGTCTGGAGTGATAAATGTAGCTTTCATATGTATTTTGATTGTCATAAAAATAACTCTATGATTTCACATTTTGCTTGTAAGGAAAACTCCCCAGCTTACATGACGTTAGGTAACTTTGCTTCACCTTAAAGCTGAGTATCTTGTCCTAAGCATTATAGGCTATGCGTGAATACTTTTTGTAACACCCCGGCCGCGCAGGACCCGAGGTAGTTACTCCGGACCAATAGTACTGTCCCCACAAACCACCACGAGCCTTTACCGCGCACTTTGTCCTCACTCATGCGCGCCCTGAGAAACTTCCTAGGGGGTCGCCCATCCCAAGACTACTCTCATGCTAGCACGCTTAACTTTGGAGTTCTTGGGTGATGAGCTCCCTTAAAAGGAGATGCACCTCTGTTGGTATGAGTAGTACTATTAATCCATTTATATTAAATCTCAAGTGTTACACTTTTGAATCTTGAGGATTTAACCAAATTCAGCAGATTTTTCTCATGCATATTTTATCAATGTCTTTCTCCATTTGATTGTCAATCCTTATCATCATATTTAGACACTTATACTTACATGTTACACAGCTTTTTCTTTTTGCAAAAATCAGAACGTTATGACTGCAGATTTGTTCTTCCTTGCATAGAAATCATTTACTTTCATTCTTTAACAATTAAGGCAATTTTTTTTGCATTTCGGGAGATCGTTTCTGAAAAATAACAGCAGCTTATTGCTACAAAGTCTTTTTGCATTTCATAGCAATCTTCCTGCATATTTTAGTTGTTATTCTATATTTCTATTCATGTTATTAATAGAGAGTAATATCTACATTTGCAGCTGCATCATCCTTTTTTCTATACTATCTACTTTGAACAAGAAGACATCATATTTCGAGATTAAGAATATTTGTAGGAGGTTACCAGTAAAGTGGCTTTGCAAAGAGTTATGTCATCTCACTATTTTGGACGCTATAAACCTCTCTGAATAATTTTCTCTTTTTCCGTGATTATTTTATTTGTTCAACTATAGAAGACTGAAGATAAATATTTCTTCTTCTTCGAAGTGTCTTGAATAAAAAGGCAGCTTGTAAGTTCATAGACTTATAGTTCGCAGCTCCCCCACAAAAAAAATTCTTTGAGTTGGTTTTGTTTCTTCATCTCAATCTTCAAATTAGAAAACGGTGTATCAATTTGTTCGTTTTTAAATTTTTATTATGCTATGCTCTTAAACAAAATGAGTTTGTTCCTGTTGTTCATAACTATTAATAATAACTTTATTAAAATTGATACTGTTCTTACTTTCTGAATAAGAAATTCTTTAGAACTAATATATTTCCATTTTATTGTTGCAGCATCACCTTCCTTATCTATCACAAGACTGCATGTAACAGTGAATTTTACTCCCTATTTGATACGCCAGTTTTTTATCGCTGATTTCAATACGAGAAAACTGCTCATGATGCCATTTAGTTTGACTTTTGATTTTACTTGTTTGCTCGTGTTTTCAGAAAATTGCACTTTCATTAAAATCCAGTTACTAAGAGTTGATTAATTATGTTTAACATGCTATACTAGAAGTAGTGTATTTATGTGTTTTAAAGGAAACGCACCGACCTTAAGCCTAAATGTGAAATACGAAGCAGTGTATTATGTGCTTATTTCCTCATGAGAGAATCTGTTGTTAAAAATTACTTGGGGTGAAACTTGCATTTTGTGGGCATTCAGGGTTTAAACCACGACTTAGGGAGGAAACACACCAACTTTAAAGTTTCACCCCATTATGTTTCATTGCCAATGTCTGATTTGTCGGAAAAGAGCTTCTGGAGGATGTTTGATGCTGGGCTCTATGAGCACTGCAGGGCAGCAGGCGCAAGTATAAAATCATAGGCACCTTCATGAGTGTGTACTACAACTCAAAGAAGGGGAAGAAGACGGTGAAGGAAGTGCAAGAGGTTGAACAGGAGAAACCCATAGACTATTGGAGTTTGGTGTTGGCTCTATGATTTGAGGCCATTTTTTGTTTCTGGAGTTTATGTATGTTTGGCATCGGTTCTCTTTTTTTAACTTGTGCATATGTGTGAGTGAGATGGGTGACTTTTCAATTTACATTAGAGGCCAGAATGCCATATCAGACCAATTATTGTTTATAAAATTTGCCACATTTTTGTGTTCCCTTCATAAAGTTCATTTTAATTTATTTTGTAATTTTTGTAAATAACAAAATATGTATTCTTTATATAAAAAACTATGTATTCAAATAATGTATTGATATTACTCATATTCACTCCAACCTAAACCGAGGAATTAATGTTGTTACAATGGCCTTGGACATTACCACGAACGCGCAACGCGCGTTACTAAACTAGTCTTATTATTACACAAAATCAAAAGTTACGTGTTTGGTAAAAAGGTTGACTGATAAGCCCAAAAACAGGGTTACCAAACAAGCCCTTTATATCCTTATGCTAGATTTTATGAGTATAATAGGGAATAATGGAATACCACCGCCATTCTTATGTCAAATTAGGATGTTTTTGCTTAGACTATTTTCAGTCTCATACCAAATCAGACCATACTTTAACAGAGCATACCGGACTTAAACAGACTAGACCAAACCAGACTTGACTGCCGTAGTTATCAAAAACACAGAGACCAAACGTTTACCAGGCCAGATCAGACCTAACATAAACAAACCAGACGAGATCAAACCAGACTTAAACAGACCAGACCACACCAGCGAGTAAAAACATCCTTCTTACATCGTAATTATTAGGGGTTGTTTGGAACTGATTCTGCTCCCGCTTCTTTTTTAAAGGAAAATCAGAATAAGAATCAGTTATCAGAAACTGGTCTCCCTTAGCTTCAAGAAAAACTGATTCTAGGAGTAAATTAGAGCACCAAAATCACTTCTGCAATTTCACTCAAACACTCAACTTCTGCTCCGGGCAGGAGTAGAATCAGATTTGTAATTAGACCCGAACACCCGCTTAATATCTCTAAACCATTCCTTGCCTAAAACTGCCCTTTTCAGCCCACCTTCTACAACGACCAGGCCAGGTGAATTTATATTTTCGAACGCTAAAGGCTCCGCGTGTCAGTGTGGGGAAATGTCGGACTGCTTCCAGCGAAAGATCGAAGTGCGGAGTCTCTCCGGCGAGAAGACATCTGCTTCGGTTTCGTCGGACATTACCGTTCAACAACTAAAGCTCATTCTCAAGCAGACCTTTGTCCCTGCATCTTCTTCCCCCAATTTCCATCTCTTTTTCAAGGCAATTGCATTCTTCCTGCAGCCATATATTAATTGCTTCTTTATCTGTGTGTGCTATGCTTTGCATACAAACTTTTATATTTTTGTTTTCTTTCTAATCGTTTCGATAGTAATGCATATGTTTAGTTATGTATGACTGTATGCGTGTGTTTGTTAGCGTGCTACTATTAGTTTGGCATGATAGTATAGTTACCTGAAAGAAAAACCGAATTTCAGGTACCTCCACCCAAGATGGAGTAGCTTTATTGGAGTATACTCCCTCCATCACAAGATAAACTTTCCTTGGATTGTCCCAAAATAATTATTTCATTTCCTTTCATTTTAGTGAAAGAATTAAGTGGTCTATTACTTCTTTCATCTATGTTCTATACATAAATCTCTACACCACAATTTATTTTTCTAAGTTCACGTGTCCTGAACATAAAGGAAAGACCACTGAGAGCCTTACACGGACACACAAAGTTAGTTATGCTACAAGCTTAATGACCATCTAAATTGATTATTGTCCACTATAATATACGGAGTAATGTTCTGTGGCGAAAGTCCCTTCATAGTATTGCTTTTAAAGTTTTATTTTGCGTTTGTGTGATTTGTTGGTTGGCACTAGATAGTTAGTCTTGATACTTGTTGGAAATTACGTTTATGTAGGAGTCGTTTTCTTATCAAATTTACTTCCTCCCCCCTGTGTTGCTCTGTTCAGGGAACAAAATTGGCACTAGAAAATAGGTTAAGCAGCTATTCACTTGGTGATGGCGATTTTTTGGTTCTTGTTCCTTTTGCAAAGAAGGATAGAGACAAGTCAGATCAATCTGCAGCACTCTCAGATGTGTCAGGATCCGCAACTTCAAAGCAATCTGAATCAACATGGGCTGATACGGCGGAAGACCTGTCAGTTTTGAGCAGTGCATTTAGCTGCAAAAATCAAAATGATGTTGAGTTAGAGATTAATTTGAAAAAATGTAAAAATTCCAACATTTCATCCTGTTCATCGCAGAGAAAGCGCAAGCTAAATTCCCAAGATAAGAAGACACAAGTTCCTACTGAGGAGTTCATTTTTGACATACTGCAGTCATCTAACAGTAGTATAGATGAACAGACATCTAAGTTTGTTATGATTTTAGACTCAGTTAATTGCTTAACTGATCCGAGTTCAGGGAACTGCATATGCATTGAAGCTCGCAGACAGAACAGTGATATGGATCCATGTTCAGGCAAAAATAAATTGTGCATGTGCCCATCATGGTTGAAAAATAAAATGAAGTTATTTTCTTTCATAAATGTATACTATGCTGTCATTCAACTTCAAAGTGGAGAAGTTACTGTGTATTCTCTGAAGAGAGCACTCGATAAACTTGGCAAATTTGGATTCCAAGCCAGTATAGTAGATGTTGAGCATCTCACTGACCTGTGTGCAAAGGTACTATTATTAGTTGTATCCCAGTTATTGTTTTCCCAATTCAGTCAGTATTTCAATATCAACAACGCTCAACTTGAATTATATATGTTGAAATTCACTACTACTTCCACTTTTTATTATAAACATCCAGTTATTGGTTATGACTTATGAGACAACTTGCATGAGGGTAGACTGTCGAGGTCCATAAAGTAAATTCAAATTTCTCCCAAGAATACCTTTTGTTGTGCTTTACAGGTTATAACAATTGTTGACGATTATCATGTGATAATGAATTCTACCAACCGCATTGTTATTCTCAAAACTTCAACTGAAGAGAGAGATCAGCATGATGGTAAGCTTGTTCCCCACCACTTGCAAGTCTTCCACATTAGTTGTGTGTTTCCTTTGGGATTGAAGTATTGAACCAATAGTGTTTTGCAGATGCTAAAAAATCTATCTCACAATCAAAGATTGTCAACTCAATGAAGAGAAGGCAAGAGTGCTTCAATACAAGTGTCATGAAGGCCTTAAGATCATTTGTGGTATGTGAGTTTATGCATGCACCTATTCTTTGAACTGGCTACGACGTCCTTGGATATTTCGTATTCATATACATTTAACGTAAGGTCCTGTGATGTTCAAAAATCTGTTGTGGTTTCTTGTATCCATTTCACTTGGAGTACTTGGAAACTACTGCTTTTGGCTTCTATATTTTGTTAGTTGATGATTTTGCAACTCTTTTTCTTCTTATGTATAGCATCTTTTAGTCTGATTCCTGCCTTGTTTAATTTCTGATGACTTTCATGTATTGGCATTGTCTTTCAATTCTATACCATTGCCATATCAAACTATTGTCAATTCTTTAGGCAAACCATCATCATTACTATAACAATAATCACTGTCAACACTTGATTCCAACTATGTTTAGGGGGTAGCATTGACTATATATGTCAATTAGTTTTCAAAAAAGTAGTTAACTTTATAATTCATGCAAAAAACAATGAAATGAAATTCCAAATCTGTCATCGACATATGTTGTATCCACTTGCCTGAAATACCTAGACTGGAGAATGAGTTAAGATAAATGCTAAACTAATGCCCCATGGCAAGTAGATAATGTAAATAGAACATGCACATCATGAATAGGAATATAGGTTAACCAAAGGAAACAAAAAGGTACTAGCGTTAAATTTATTGTGCATCAAATAGAACTATCGAAACTGTATAACTTCAAGCAGTTTGGGGGTGTGCCTTGAAGTGACTTGTTTCTGGGGCTCTACATAGTTTATAGATAACGAAAAGCTTTGGCATGTGAAATATGCAAGTACGAGAAAACTTTCCTTCTTAGCAAGATGCATGTGATTTATGGCGTGTTTGGATATGCTTCACATATCCACAGTTTTATTACTATCTGAACTCACAAATAACCAGAACACTATCATGCAGCTTGAAGATGGGATCAACTTTTCTAATTTATCCTTGGAAGATTTCATTCTGTATGTGAATCAGTGCAGTGAGAAAAAGGGGAAACCATCAGATTCTCATTCGTTTAAAGCACTTTGTCATGTAGGGTTCACTCTTTGTAATCTCTTCTTTCTTTGTAGTTCTTTACATTATTGCTGTACCAGCAGAGTAGGCAGACTGTGGGTGCTGAGAAATTTATGACATAATGAAGCTGTCTTGGTTGAAAAATGAAATGTTGACAATTTGACACATCACTTTATTACTGTAAAAACATCTTAATATTAGTATCTAGTTTTGGTGTGAGGTTAAAATTCTCAATTCCATTGCTAATGATTTTTCCTTGATCTACAACTCTTTGCATATTGATTTGTTCTCACATGGATATCTAAATTACCATTTAACGGAGGATCTTGATACTTCAGATCATTTATGGTTGCTCCTTCCTCATACCCCTTTCACAATTATGATGTCCATATGAAGACATTTTTTGACGTTTTGATGGTAGTAAATGCTTGTTTACATCTCATAGTTTTCATGTAATGCTGCTCCTTTCAACACATTGCAGATGCCACTGTGTGGTAAGAGTGTTGATTATTACCATATTATTATTGGCTCGTTGCTATTGATTTTATTATGATAAACTTGTAGCCATCTTTTGGCAGTGAAGCATTTGTGGGTCTAATTCTACTTGGACATCCTAATCTGTTATGATCTTTCACAAATATGGTGCTGATTTTTCTGTCTAAATATTTGTCTTCATCTTGAAGGATACAAACCCCATGCTTCCTGTCGAAATGTTGGAACATCTTAGGAGATGCATTGGATCTAAAGGACAGGTTACTTGTTCTAGATGCTTTCCTGTTTATTTTTCCTCTATGATTAGTGCTATATTTTCTCTTTGATGCCCTTTCGAGTGATAGTTGCTGGACCTAACAGGGCATAATAATCAGTAGCTTACAAGCTTGCATATATTTTATGTAGGTTGTTCATGTTGAAGAGATCAATGCTCGGAATGCCACTTATGTTGAGATTCCAAGTGAACTTTCAGAACTTACAAAGGTTGCACTGAAAAATATTGGTATTACTAGGTTATATAGCCACCAGGTATGTCATTATCTTTTGAGTACAATTTTTCTATACAACAAGGGCCATTTCTTACTAGGTATCTTTTAATTGTTGCTCAATATATGCAGGCTGAGTCGGTTCAGGCATCTCTTGCTGGCAAGGATGTAGTTGTGGCAACATTGACATCCAGTGGGAAATCTCTTTGCTACAACCTTCCTGTTCTTGAAGTTCTATCCTACAATTCGTTAGCATGTGCAATTTACCTGTTCCCAACTAAGGTTTGGTGACTTCGCTACTTTCTTGAGTGGTTAATTGTTTGTGACTTTGTTGAATGGTTCAAATTTTGTTGTTGAAGGCTCTTGCACAAGATCAACTAAGAGCTTTATTGGCCATGACAAATGAACTGGATCATAACATAAACATTGGCGTTTATGATGGAGACACTTCTCTGTCAGATAGAACGTGGCAACGTGAAAACTCTAGACTGGTATTGCAGTAAGTTTTGATTATTTATGTAGCAGAAATATTTTTCTCTGTTCTTGTGATCTCTTAAGTCTTAAGGTCTCGTTGTCCCGTGTGTGGATGCTGAGCTCATCATTTACTGATATGCAGATGATCACAAATCCAGATATGTTACATATGTCTATCTTGCCATTTCATGGGCAATTCAGACGGATCTTTTCTAACCTACGGTGAAATTTTAATGCACAATTGAACATTTACTTGTCAATTGCAAATGATGTCAACTCCTTTCCTCTTGGAGTTCTGCTTTCTCTCTATAATTCAGTTCACTAAGTTTAAGATTGTAACTATAGGTGGTTTATAATGTTTGTTTTTTCTTTTACTGTTATTATGACTCACTTCACCTTTTATTAGTTGCTTGACTGCTTCTGTAGTCTTTTGACAATAGTTATGAGTAAAAATTGTAGGTGTTTAAATTGTATGTAAAAAAGTAGGGAAATTTTTATGGAGACATATGACTCCACTATGGAGTCATTTAGCATATGTCAAATATGTGGCTTCATCATAGCCATTCACTATTAGAGTGGGATCTCTCACTATAAAAATGAGTGGTTATGAGGAGGCCACACATGAACATGACTCCATAGTAGAGTCATATACTCACATAGTCACATGTGGCTCCTTAATATTTTTTTGGAAAAAGTAGGGGAAAGTAGATGAAATAGCAAGAAAAATGGAGAGAAGATGAAAAATAAGAGCATTAATAATTTTTTATAAGATCATATATATTCAATAAAGAACTTGGAGTAAGTAATAAAAATTCTGTAGAAGGAAAGTGGAGCAATTAATAAAAGAAAGTGTGAGTATCAATATCTTCATCATCTAAAATATATTAATATTAATATTATTATTATTATTATCATTTTTACATACTTCCGTTCTCTTGAATTTAGGTTTATCATTTTAGATGAAGCACATGCTTATAAGGGCGCATTTGGATGTCATACAGCCCTTATTTTGAGAAGGCTTCGTCGGCTCTGCTCTCATGGTTACCGTCCATTTCAGTCTACATAATTTTAATTGCTATATAGTTTCGCCTATAAATGTAGGACATATGTGCTAATGAATTCTCATGCAGTTTATGGTAGCAATCCTTCTTTTATATTTTCTACTGCCACTTCTGCAAACCCTGCTGACCACACTAAGGTTGTGACTTTTGCTGTTTGTTCATAAATTTTTCAGTGTGTTGGACTCAGGGTATGGTTAATGATTTGTACCATTTTCGTAGCTCATTGGTCCAGTTGGTTACTTTCATAATCTAACCTTGAATTTTCCATCTCTTGACCCTCTCTAACAGCAAGATAGTTAATTTTTCAAGAAGATACGTCATACATATAATTCTTGTGTTAGGGTGTGATATGTTTTAGTATTAGCATGCAAATAAACCTCAAACAGGGGCAGTTGCATTCAATATGAACCAAGCTATACTCTCCTGGTGACTGTTTATGTTGTTAACCAATTAAAAGTTCTGATATGTATAGGAGCTTGCAAATTTGCCAGCAATTGAGCTGATTCAGAATGATGGTAGCCCTTCTGGTCCAAAAACATTTGTGCTCTGGAATCCTCCTGTGTGTCTCAGAACGGTAGGGCCTTGATAAATGTTTTGTTTTTCCACTACTCATTGGTCATTTTGAGGAGTACCACTTTGGCATCATTCTTTCGCAGGTTTCAAAGAGAAGTAAAAAGGGTACAAATGCTATCAACTCTACTGATGGATATAGAAGTGTGGTTGTGGGAAGATCAAGGTAATGCATGCTCATTGTCTGTTCTCGGGAGAAATGCTCAGCTTGTTTCCTTTCTCCATTGTTTTCCCCGAGTTTAAATTAATGTGTAGAGACCTTGATCATTGTAATTTTGCTACTTTGCTAGTTTAAATTAATATAGCAAAACTGCAAAAGTAAAAAAGAATATCAGTTGTAGTTAGTTGAAGAACGTCAGTTGTCAGTTCCTTGGTATTAGGTGAGTTGCTGAGGTGGAAATGTGGAATGGTGTAGTTGATGTTTGAAAGTTAATTGATTACCTCTGTATATTTATTCTGCCATTACATTTATCTGATACCTGTTAAATAAATAGAAATATTTCCCAAAATATCATCCAACTACAAGACAGAGTTTAAATCTCTACAGAAAAACACCAGTACAATAATACTTCTATGTAGTAATACTCATATTAGAAAAACCTCTATTTTATTATAAAATATTTTGGGCCCAACTTACGAAGTTAAGATTCTTTAATGCATCCTTTCTGTTATGACATCTCAATTGTAGTAAACTAGTTCAGTCGTAAGCAAGGTTTTAAAAGGCTAAAATGAGTCTCGAGCCACGCTGAGGTGTATATCTAACATGTACATATAAAATTTTAGGGAAACATTTGTAAAGCTCATTTAAGTGTGAGGGAATAACTTATATAGAAGTCCTAAGAACCAAAAACTACTAACTAGCATGCAATAACAAATACCCCCTCCGTCCCTTTGGACTTTGCCAACTTTCCATTTTTGGTTGTCCCAAAAAACTTTGCCACTTTCCTACTAAAGCAATTAATTTGTGGTTCTGCACATTTCTCTCTCCTCTGCACAAATCTCAACCACACAGTTTTTACTATTCTTATTTCTCACCTACTTTGCACTTGGCAAAGTCTACCGAGACGGAGGTAGTATAATTTTAAAATAAAGTTTTAGAATTCATGAAAGTAACTAAACGTTTAAGCCACATAGTCTAAAACACTTGATAGCAGCCACATAGAACTTAAAAGGAACTGCTACTGAACTAAGACTACTGAACTAGTAACATGCTTGTATGATTAATCTATCCTTGTTATGTAAGCTCTACACTAATGTACAGTGCAGCTCTGAAAAGAAGAGTAGGAGACTCCCAGCAAAAGAGGTGAAACATAGCTAGCTTAAGAGAAAAATATCTAACTAAGGATCTGAAGGTTTTGCATATTGAAATATTGAATTGGTTTAACTAACATAATGAAGCCCATAGACAAAAGCATTGTTGGGACCGGTCTGTGAGTTAAGGCCTGACTCTAAAGATTTACTTGGTGAAAATGAGGTGTTAAAGTTGTTGGATGAGTTTATTCTTTACGAAAAATGTACATTCCTTCACATTTGGGAAAATGGTGATGTTAAGTCACATTAGACTGTAATGCTTGAACAGAGTTAATGTATATATTTCAAGCTCCATAAACACATCCACACCATTGTTATACTCATGCATATGGTGGTGGCTAGCTATTTGGTTGATGCATATTTACTTCTTATTTTCTCAAGTGTTTTTCTCTTTTAAGGAGATGCTTTATTTCTGATAATTATTACCCTTTATGCAGTCCTATGTTGGAGGTATCATACATTTTTGCTGAAATGGTGCAGCATGGGCTTCGTTGTATTGCATTTTGCAAAACGCGCAAACTTTGTGAGCTTGTCTTAAGCTACACGTATGTGATATAACCTTAATTTCTAATCTTGGTCTTTATATATGAAACATAACTTGTATGTGATGCCTGGCTATCATAAGGCGCGAGATACTTCAGGAATCAGCACCTCATTTAGTCGATGTTATCTGTGCATACCGAGCTGGCTATGTTGCAGAGGTTTGCTACTGCAATTTCTCTGGCAATTTTTTTCCCTTTTAACTGAACTTGTCTCAATAAGCATCAAGGCCGCTTTATAGTCTTACTTAATATTAGTATAACATGATTTGAGTGTCTGTAATCTGCTTCATTTTCTATTCCGAGCTGATTAGCTAAAAGAGCTACTATAGTAGCTTTGAATGAATCAAAATTGAAATTTCATTCATTCTCAAACAAAGCTTCGCATAGACAGAAGATAGCTCAAGGCAAGGGGGCCACAGGGACGAGGGCTCCAGCAGCTCGTCCTGGATTACCTCGTAATTATTGTTGTCTTTATGTGGTTGTGTTTGAGTTATATATTAAGAAAGTTGCAAAATTAGCAAACTGCATGAGAAGTAAGTCATCATTTTCACCCAATTCAGAATGGATCATGTCTACATACTTAACATGAGGTTCACTTGTCCTATGTCCAGAGGTCAAAAAGCTTTATAGAAGGGGATTGTAATGAGGGTTAACATTGTCACACTGTTTAATTTACTATATTCCTTATTTAACCTATAGTAAACTTTATATTTTATTCTCATATATGAACTGATTAGATGTACTATGACAAAAGCAACTACATATTTACATTTTGATTTCCATATCAGGTCTTCACTTAAATGGAATGCGTTGACATCATTTCTTGATGTAGCAGGATAGGAGAAGGATTGAGCACGACTTTTTTAGCGGTAAGATGTGCGGTATTGCTGCCACAAATGCTCTTGAACTGGGAATTGATGTTGGACACATTGATGTGACTTTACATCTAGGCTTTCCGGGTAGTATAGCTAGGTAAATGTTCAGTTTTTTCTTTAGATGGTCAGCTCCATGCTGCTGTATGGTCTTGGTTTACTAGGCAGCCCTTCGTGTTTTTCACTCAGCTTATGGCAACAAGCTGGAAGATCAGGAAGAAGGGGAAATCCATCAATCGCTATCTATGTAGCTTTTGGAGGGCCATTGGATCAATATTTCATGAAGCTCCCAAACAAACTTTTCAAGAGTCCAGTTGAGTGTTGTCATATTGATGCTAATAACCCACAGGTTCTTACCCTAAACACTTGCTATTATATTTTATTATTAATCCTCCTTCCGACTTTATTAATACTCTTTCACCGATCTCTTAAGCTTAAATTTTGTTAAAATTACTTAAATTTCTTAAATTTCTTATCTCCACAGGTGCTCGAACAACATCTGGCATGTGCTGCTTTCGAACACCCACTAAGCCTGCATCACGACGAGAAGTATTTTGGTCCTGGACTGGAAGCTGCAGTAATGACACTAAAAGATAAGGGATATCTGAGTACTGATGTGTCACATGATTGTAGTGCTAGAATTTGGAGCTACATCGGGCCTGAGGTATTCTGTTGTTCGGTGTAGTTTCTAATTGCTTAGCTGAAGTATTGACAATTTTGACACTTTTGCACATCTTCAAGCTATTTTATTTCATTATTTTTAATTACATTTTCAGAAAGTTCCCTCAAATGCTGTAAATGTTCGGGCAATTGAAACAGGACGATACCAAGTAATTGATAAACAGAAGAATGAACTTCTAGAAGAAATCGAAGAGAGTAGGGCATTTTTCCAGGTAAATGAGTTGCAAATATCTAGTGAGGACTCACTTTAGTATTGAAGTGTTCTTCCTGGGTCCTTGATATTTTCAAAGTTGGCTTCTGGTAAAGTGCTAATATACCTTAACACTGTACTGGCCTACTGGGCCATTTTTAATTTAATTAGTTCAAGCTCATTTACAACTTATTTCCATCATTTGCAATGGAGTCAAAGATTCACTAGTTTTTTGGCTTGAGAATATGATGGAATAAAAAAAAGGCTCACTAAACTGTCTGCGCTTCTTTGTTATGAAGCAACAGTCAGTCCATGCAATTTTGGACGCGATTTTCACTATGGGTCATCCGGAACAGTCTCTGTGTGCTTTAGTACAGGGGTAAGACTGCGTACATTCGACCCCCCCTTACCCCACCGTAGGTGGGAGCCTTTGCGGCACTGGGGTAAATGATGAAATGATGATGAAGCTCATTTACAACTTGGGAAATACATATTCCATCCGTCCCAAATTTATTGTCCACTTTAACCAGGCACGAATTTTAATACAGTTAAAGCAGTGTGGTTGAGATTTATCTAGAAGAGTAATATTGTGAACCACTATGGGTCAGCTGGAAACAGTCTCTCCACCCTTTAGTACAGGGGTAAGACTGCGTACATTTGACCCCCCTTACCCACCGAAGGCGTGGGAGCCATTGCGGCACTGGGGTAATGATGATGATGAGTAATATTGTGAACCACATATTGCTTTCCTAAAAAAAGGGCAATAATTTTGCGGAGGACCAAAAGTTGATGTGAATAGTTTGGGTAAGACTGCGTGCATTCGGCCCCCCTTGCCCCACCGAAGGTGTGGGAGCCTTTGCAGAACTGGGGTAATGATGATGATGATGAATAATATTGTGAACCACATATTGCTTTCCTAAAAAAGGGAAATAATTTTGTGGAGGACCAAAAGTTAATGTGAATAGTTTGGGAGAGAGGGAGTAAAGGACAGCCTCAAGTCATTTATATAGTGATGAAAAGTGAAAACTTGAGAGAGAAAATGAACAAATGGGTTGTTAAGCAGTATGGGTGGAGTTGGTTAATATTCTTCATCAAACTGGCTACTGCTGCCAAATAATCAGATATGGTATTTGCCATATTTCCTTTCATTTCAAATTCACAAAGACATAATTTCTACAGGTTTATGAAGGGGCTGTTTATTTGAATCAAGGAAAGACCTATCTTGTGAAAGAAATGGATTTATCAAGTAAAATTGCTTGGTGCCAGGAAGCAGACTTGAAGTATTACACAAAAACTCGTGACCTTACTGATATTCATATCACTGGGGGTAACATTGTAAGCAAAAATCAAGGCATACATGCATTCCCCCTACTATTTTACTCAAGTGCTTTTGAATTGTCTTTGCAAGTTTCATGATAATAGCCACCAGGCATACTAGTATCAATGCATTATCCTTTTATGCAAACTATTTCTCTTATTGTCTATGAGTATGTGCTACTATAAAAAGCAAGAAATTTTGATAGATAGAAATTGCTTCCATATCCTCCCCATTCCAAACCCAATTGAAACACCCTGTGCACAGAGTATTGTAAATTATCCTCACCTGCCATCATAAAAGGTGTTTCATTTACTGGAGTTTGTAGAAACCTAGGTATGCTCTTTATAAGTTGCTGGTTGATGTGAATGATGGATGGTCATCTTTTTATTTTCAATTTTTGTTTTTGTTTTGGGATTAAGGCTTGGATGTTGTTGTATTAGGCCTATCCAGCTAGGAATTTGAATGTCCCATTTGCAAGAACAACTGCACGAGCACAGTTTTGCAGAGTAACCACTACCTGGTTTGGTTTCCGCCGGTTATGGAAAAAAAGCAACCAAGTTTTTGACACCCTTGAACTGTCACTTCCAAACTACTCTTATGAATCCCAGGTGATTGCTAATTGACAGACTTTATCTATGTTTTATCTTTTATAGTGCCCTCTTGCTCTTTTTTTATAGATGTTATTTTCATGCCCAAAGCAGGCTGTCTGGGTTCCAGTCTCTGTGATGATAAAGAAAACAGTTGAGGCCTTAAATTATTCATTTCGAGGAGGTTTACACGCTGCTTGTCATGCTGTTCTTCATGTAGTTCCTTTGTGAGTTTTCAACATTTGAAATCTCAGAGGGTGGCCATTTATAGTGGTTCTGCTAAGGGATCAAAGGTGTTTAAACTTTAAGACCAAAATATTTTAGTGATTAGCTTCTCTTATTTCTTCCTGAACCTTGCACATATAGGTTTGTGATTTGCAATACATCTGACATAGCTTCGGAGTGCGTAAACCCTAATGACTCCCGTTATGTTCCAGAAAGAATTTTACTTTATGATCCACGTCCTGGAGGAACTGGGATTGCAGCACAGGTGAGTTATAATTGATCTGGATCATCATTAAATTCTCTTCAATCATACCTCTTATTTTTTGAGCAATGTAAAAGAGAATCTGGAATTGGAGAGGCTAGACATGCTTCTTCCGTCTGTTTTAAAATGCAACACAATTTGACTTTTACATTTGTTAACTCTAGATTTGTTAACACATAACTTGGACCATTAATATATATAATATAATTGTCAACTATTAAAATTATAAAAATTTGGTATTCTGAAAGTACATATTGAGACAAACATAACAACATAATCAGATGTTTTTAAAAAATCATTAGACACTATTACGAATGTTGTATTTAAAGAGACTTTCTAAAACTTCTAACAAGTAAGTTTAATATTTTATTATATATTACGATCAATTTTAACTAATAAGTAGCAAGTTCTTATGGATAGTATTATTTACTTTTAACTAATATTCGTTACTTTTAATATTTATTGTATTGACGTAAACTTTGTCACTCACTTTTTGTAAGCAATTTTTCAGAATAATGTTTAATTTTTAAAAATAATCTAATCATGAAAAATTATGGTCAAAGTACATTTTTAGCATATTTAGTTATCCTTTAAGTGTGTATTGTGTTTCAAAATGGTCCTAGTTTGACAGATCCAGTTATCCAAAATATATTATATCTGATCCTTCAAACCTTTGTAGATGCAACCCTTATTTACTGAGCTTCTGACTGCTGCCTTGGAACTTCTCACATCATGTCATTGCTCTGGTGATGCTGGTTGCCCCAACTGTGTACAAGTTAGTTATGACCAATATTTCAGGGATTTCATATCTATATTATACTCCGTATATTCATCTGTATAGAATCCCATGCTATTTTTTTTAAAGTTCACCGTGTTAATGGTGTGTTTCAGAATACCATTTGTGAAGAATATAACGAGTTTCTTCACAAGGATGCAGCTATAATCATACTTAAGGTACAGCTGATAACTGTTATCATTTGAATTTCAAGAGGCAAGTGAACTCTACACAAACTGTTTGTGGTCCCGCATTGTGTTTATGCAGGGTGTTATCCAAGCAGAACAAGTCTGACCTTAGCAAATGTGTTTTGCAATCACCAACAAAAGATTAGTCAAATTTGCTACTCTGGGATTGATGGATAGAGTTGAAATTCACATGTCAGCTCATTTCCGAGTACTTGCGTTCAAGTTAGGCTAGTATTGTAAGGCATAATGGGGGTGTTTGGATCTGATTCTAAAACTGCTTCTGCTCTTTCAGGGAGCAGAAGCAGAAGTTGGAGTGTTTGGGTGAAAGTCCAGAAGTGATTCTGGAGCTCTATTTTACTCCTAGAATCAGTTTTTTTGGAAGCTGGGGGACACCAGCTTCTTAAAACTGATTCTGATTCTGCTTTTACTTTAAAATAGAAGTAGAAGCAGAATCAGTTCCAAACACCCCCAATATAACCTAATGTAATGGAATGGAATCTTCAGAGTTGTGCGTGGTTTCTTAAGCATTAACCATTTTCTCAATGTAATGATCTTTACATTATTATAATGTCTGTTTACGTATATACAGTTATGGTATGTAATCAAACTTACGATTGATGTGTTACTATATTAGTACGTATACTCCCTCCTCCGTTCTCTAATAGGGGTAGAATAAAAGGTATAGTGGGTTGTGTGTAAAGGAAAAAATAGGAATGCAAATGAAAAAAGTAGGAAAGAAAATGAGGTATATAGGTATATTTATTGAAAAAAGATTCTAAAAATAGAAAGGGATATATATTAGAGAACATCACAAAATGTAAAGACAGACATGTATTAGAGAACGGAGGGAGTATTATACTGCGTATTATTTGCTAAAAGTCTGTGTCATCACATCATCATTATTCACCAAGTACTAGTGTACTACCAGTACCACCTTTCTATTTTCACCCCGAAGAGGGTATGCTTCTCTCTCTAATAAAAAGAGTGCTTCTACTGAAAAATGCAAACAGTTGCACTCTTTACTCTCTTCGATGCACCGTTATGTTTATACTAGTTATTCACCCGTGCGATGCACGGTTTATAATTGTATTTCCAAATATATCGCGGTGAACAATAAAAAAGATGTAATTATCTGACAACAAAATGTAAGATGTTGTAATAATGATATAACTTCAACACGAACACGTAGATGAATGACAAAAAAGATAAACGTAGGTTGGCACACATAATATTATAATTACATATAAAGTACCAAGTATTGGTGAAATGGTGGGAAATAAAAGAAACAAAAACAATAACATCACATAAATGTATACTCCCTCCGTCTTGAAATTAAGTTCTCAGTTTGACTTCACACAGATTAAGGAAATTCATTTGACTTTACTGTAGAGTGCACTGTTTTGCACTGTTCAAACATTGACACTGTTTGGACATTGTTTGGCACTGTTTGATGTAGATTTCTTTGCCAAATAAGGAAAGGTTTGAAGTATGAAGTTAATTTAGGAACTGCCCAAAAAGGAAAGTGAAAAGTTAATTTTGGGACAGAGGGAGTATAATGCAATGCTACACGTTGTTGAACACTTGTTTGAACACGACATTTTGAGTCACATCTGCGGTCCCTTTATCTTTGTCACAAATTAAAATTTCCAAACCATGAGGATTGATACCGCAACATACTAAAAAAAACATTTTTCTTAGTAAGTAGTATAAATAATACATTAATAAAATCACATTTACAAACAGTAACCGTAATATATGAAATAACTATCAAAATTATTTATCTATAAAATGACAAAAACGTTATCCTTTTATTATTCTCAAAACAAAATAACCGTTTCGTTTTATTGTATAAATCAGTTTACAGGACTACTGACAAATCAATTCAAAAATTGATGCCATTTTATTAGTATAACTAAACAACACACAAACCCAATAATAATACATCCCGACCACATTGTTACTGGGCTTAAAAGCAGCCCAAAAATGACAACCCATTAAGTGGAGCGTTTATATTCCGAAGCTGAAAGCGACATCCTTCTCATAACCACTCGATTCAGTTAGCCGACAAATGCAGACCTCTCTCCCATTGACTACGACGCCACCGAACAATCGTTTATTCAAGCGCTGGGAAGGGAACCCTCACACATCAGACACACATTTTCAGCACAAATTCCAGCCGGAATGGCGGAATCCACAACCGTCCATGCAGGCAGAGGAACCGGCGCAAACTCGATCCCGGAAGACCAAACGGGCAACGGTATAATCTGCAGATACCCTCTAGCTACTACACATCACAATCTGTCGATGACACATTTTGTAATGAACCAACAGTCTGAACTGTTTTTTTTTTTGGTGTTCAATTCTTCAACTCATTTTTCAATATATTTCTTGTATGCTATTTGCTATTAGGTCGTACGTCAATGTGAGAAGGATGTGAAAAAGTTTGCTGTTGCCGCTATGCTTTTATAGTGAAACAGGTAGGCACGAAAGATAGCATGTACCATACCCATTTACTGTATGACCACCCTTTTCCACCAATACAAACCAAGGAAGGCCAGCATCCTATAACATATTTTATTGAACAGTACCCACCACCCTTTTGGTCCAATAGCAGCTTTCAATATTTTTTTTATATATAAACTACGCTCACCTCACTCTTTGCCAATAGGAATGGGGTTTCCAAACAATTGTAATGGCGGCTGGAGCCAAATCGTTGCAATACATTATTTTACGAATACAATAATTTAGCACTGAAGTCGACGTTTATGGGCGGGAAAACTATGCGTTAAAAATCTTTTCCTTTTAGATTAAGGTTGATGTTGCCCTTTTTGGTTTGGTTGGGGAAGAAACCATTGATTTTAAAACCTGATGATGACATGATCAAATTGTTGGAGTAAGATCACGATGACATCGATCGCGGATATTTATCATTGTAGAATGGTGCTGGCAAGGGAGTCTAATCAATCGCTCATCAAAACACCCGTGCTTTTTCAGTTTTACTTTTCCCCTAGTCAACTTTAACGGAAGTATTCGGTATTTTAGTACATCATATGTTCCTCCTATATTAGTACTCCATATTATCATCAAACTTTTCTTTTTCGTCCGATCCAAAATTATTTTTTCTTTTCCTTTTCGATAAAGAATTTGTGGTTCACAATCATTCTTAAACATTTTTACACATTTCACTCTCCCCGCACAACTCTCCACCACTAAAAACTCATTATCTTAATTTGTGTGCATTCTCAAAGGAGGAGATAATATAGGGACAGAGAGAGTAGTATCAACGCCTCCATTTTGACGTAGACTTTTCTAGAAGGAACATGATTGTAAATCTTACTAAAGTAGTGGACTACTAACATTACTATTACTATTATTACTACTACTAATGACAAAAAATATAATAATGCTTCGTGTACACATCATTAGATGCCGGTCAAATTGTTTGTATGATACAGACAATTTGACCGGCGTTTTATGAAGAAAATTAGTTTTTGAATAGACAAAAAAAATTGTCTTTGTACCACAGACAATTTTTTGTCTGTGACACTTACATTTTTCATTTGTCTGCACAAAAACCAATTTTCTTCACAAAACGTCGGTCAAATTTTCTGTACACAGACAATTTGATTGACATGTAAAATGACGTGTACACTTTGCCGTGTACAAATAGCATTTTCGTAAGAAGTATCATTATGAATATTTCCACTATTTATATAATTATTTTAAAACTAGTAGAAAAATCATATTTAAAATTTTAATATGAAGTACAAAAAAATTATTCAACGTATATGTTTGCTCCAATGGCTCGCACGCATACATGCATGGTTCTAAAATCGCTCTAGGCGCCCGACTAGTCCCCGCCTAGGCGCTAGGCGGTAGTCGGGCGCCCCGATTTTAGTCTAGGCGCTCCGACTAATTGATTTGGCGCCTAGGTGAATTAGTCGGCCGCCTAAGGCGCCTAACTACCCGCCTAGAGCGCTTAATTGGCTGCCTAGACATCTAGATTCATCGAACATTTTATTTTGCTTTTTATTTTAGTATTCTAAGAGATATACGTATCTTTAACTGTAACAACACATATGAAGAAAACTACTAGTTGTAGATTAATATAAATGCTATACATGTTCTTATATATATTCTTAAGTGTTATTATTATTTATTAATAATTATTACGTAGTATTACTTGAAGTTAAGAAGTAAGTATGTATAATATGTTATTAAGTGTGAAAACTCTTATCACTCATGCATGTTAGTGTGTGTATGTATGTGTTTTATATTTTATGTACACATAAACACAACATTATTAATCATATTTATGCAAAATATTAATAAAACTACAATTTTTATGTCTCCGATTAATCCCCGCCTAGGCGCCCGTCTAGCCGCCTAGGCGCTAGGCGTTATGCTGGCGCCCGACTAGCGCATAGCGCCTTTTAGAACATTGCATACATGATATGTGTATATATATTAAAACTAGGAAAAAGTACGGAAAAAATATTTGTGGTTGGGTTCGTTTTCAGACAGGGTCATGTGTTTCATTCTTTATCAAAGTGTTTCATGTGTTTCAATTCCGTTATCACAAAAGGGTCACACTGTTAAAAATGTCTGAAAAAGACCGTTAAAAGTAACTTCTATTTTCAAAAGTGTCCGGAAAATTAAAAGAAAAATACCGAAAGGTGCGCTTCGTCAAGATGACCTCCAAACCACCTTCACCTTTGGATTTTTCAGTTCTGTTTGAATTATTTTTTAAAAATGATTTCGCTAATATCATTTTTCCGGTGAACTTTCCAGTGACAAGGGTGGCTGAAAACAAAAAAGAAAGATGACCTAGCGGTCGTCTTATTGAGGCGCATCTTCCGATATTTTTCTTTTATTTTTTCAGGTACTTTTGAAAATCGGAGTTACTTTTAATGGTCTTTTTCAGATTTTTTTAAACCCTCTTGTGATAACAGAATTCAAACACATAGAACCACTTTGTAAAGAATGTAAACACGTGACCCTATCTGAAAACGGGCCCAACCACAAGTACTTTTTCCGTACGTTTCCCTTAAAATTAATAATAGTAATAATTATATGAAATATTTTTTTTGCGAGGAATTATATAAAATAATATTCCGTAGTAAATATGATCTTATTTTTTTACCAAAATTTTCAAAATAAAAAATATAAACTAAACGTTCATTTTTTAATTGTCTAATGCTCTAACTCAATGGGCTCACCGCTCACCCAACCTACCACCAACTGCTGGTTGCCAACGTATGAATAGTTGAATACCCTGTTTGGTGACCTTATTGTTTGGTTTATAAAGCTTATGAATCATTTTTTTCAATATCAAACACGTAATTTTTGATTTCGCACGTTGAATGGTGTAATAAAAAAAATAAGGTTGAAGTTATTTTTCTGGCTGTATTGGTTGAAATTATTGTATAGTATTATTTTAGTTGTTTTCTCATATTTTTTTATTAACAAAATATATTTTAAATTTTTTTCTTATGAATCACCAGAATCAATTTCATAAATACTCCCTCCGTTCCTCAATGTTTGTCCTACTTTCCCGAAATGGAAGTCCCAAAATGTTGTTCTACCTTTTTAACTTCCTTATTTGGC